CAGGTCCCCTTGCAGCCCCCCCTCCCCTCCCACCACCATCCCTGCCCTGTCTCCCCACAGGCTGCTCTGAACATGCTGAGCAAGTGCCAGTCCCTGGCATACAAGGAGCATGGCATCTTCTGTGTCGCTCTCCACCCTGGCTGGGTGCAAACTGACATGGGCAGCTCTGCTGGACACACGGTAGGAATTCCACCATGGTGGCTCCGTCAGAACCCATGTGCTGACTTTCCATGGGTGGAAGTTACTGCCATGATTCCCTGCACACAACTTCCCCTCCTACCTGATCTCTGCCAGGACAGCTCTCCGTATCCTGGTCCCGGGTGCTGGGTGCCCCCATCCCCTCGGTTCCCTGCTCAGCCCCTCTGCCTGAGGTTGTCTGTTTTCCCCTTGCCTTGGAGTGGGTCCTTCCCCTGGCTCCAGCTGCTCCAGGGCCCTCAGCCAGGCCTTGGGCATAGGCTGCCTCTCCCCCTTTGCCCCACAGCCCCCCGTGACAGTGGACGACAGCGTGAAAGGGATGCTGAAGGTGCTCTCCTCCCTCTCCGAGAAGGACACCGGCACCTTCCTGGACTGGGAAGGGAAGGTCGTGCCCTGGTGAGACACCAGTTCAGGATCCTGGCAGCGGGACCCTTTGCTGCTGCTCCCATCTGCCCCACATCCTCAATAAACCCCTGTCAAGAGCCCTCAGCTCTGCTGTGCATTGCCAGCTCATGGGGTGGCCCCTTCCTGGTTGCCCCACTCCTCAATCCCACAACTGCCACTGGATCCATGGCTGTCGTTGCACCCCCATGAGTGACAACATACAGGTCCCATGGCACTGTAACAACACTCTGGAGACCTCTCCTCCAGGAGGCACTGGAGGAGCCAGGGCAGAGGCCCTTCCATGGAGTCAAAAGATCTGAACACCTGCAGGGCTGGCTTTCCCCCTCTCCAGCTGCAGGGCACCCCAGGGCTGTGCTCAGCCTGGGCTGCCCAAGGGGCTGGGGGTCACGGGGACCAGCTGCCCTCTCCGTCAGCTGGGGGATGCCTGGTCACAGGTGGGACAGACAGACACACAGCACTTGGGAAGTGCACAGCGAGCATGTGCCGGGCTCGGGTGGGGAGTTTGAGGCTGGGTGTGTGGAGACAGAGCAGAGAGACATTAGCTCACAGACTTTACTGAGGTGGGGGGTACAGAGAGACTACAGGGTCATGCAGAGGATGGGGAAGGGGAGAGAACTTGCTTCCCAGTCCCTTCCCCTCTCCCTGACAGCCCAGAGTGGGCTGAGGGCAAGCAGGGTGACCACTCAGAGGGGTAAGTCAGCAAGTGCGAGGCTGCTGTGTGGGCAAGAGAAACCACCCATCTGTCCATCACCAGGGCAGGCAGTTTCCTTCCCAGTCCAGGAAGGCTCCGGAGGCGTCCTGCGAGAGGCTGGCCAGCACGGTCAGGATGCCCCGCACGCTCTGCTCCACCGTCAGCGGTGCCTGCAGGAGGGGACAAGGCACAGCCTCACTGCCATGGGCTGTGATCAGCACAGAGAGCAGCTCTTGGGCAGAGGAGAGGGTGTGCAGCCTGGGAGCAGCACCCACAGTGCTCATGGGGGATATTTTTCCTTACTGCCACCCCTCTGTTCTCTAGGCTGGGAGGAGAGGAGACACAGCTGGCTGTGTTGCTTGCTGCCTGCTCCCTGCTTGCTCCGACCCAGGAGATGGTCCTGGCAGCCCACACAACATCCCCCAAGTGCCCCTGCCCTCCCCAAGACATGGGGATACAGGGGGGGTTCTGCTGTCCCTCCCCTGTACAGCCCAGTACCTTCTCCGTCCCCATGTCAGTCTTCACCCAGCCAGGATGGATGGCCACACACAGGATCCCCTTGTCCTGGAGCTCTGCAGCCAAGCACCTTGTCACCATGTTCTGGGCAGCCTGGAAGAGGCACAGCCCTGCTATCACGACCCGGGGCGCGGGTGGGCAGGAGGGGGCCCATTTCCCAGGCAGAAAATGGCTGTGGAGGTGGGAAATGGGACTTGGCCCCTGGGCAAAGCATCAGCACGACCTGCCTGGAAGGCTCAGTCCCAGGTGCTGCTGTCCCGGTCTCTGTGCTGCTGCCTGGCAGAACCAGGCAGGGGGTGGGTGAGCGGGGCAGGGGGTGCCCCCATGGCCTTTCCCCCTCCACGGGCACCGTGCACGGCAGAGCGTCCCCAGCACCTCCCCTGGCCCCTCACCTTGCTGGCACGGTACGGGTACATGGGGGCCTCCGGCACCCCGAGGCACAGCCCGAGGGATGCCAGTTTGGTGGAGATGTTGATGGCCGCGGCCCTGCCGCAGCTCAGCCCCTCCTTCCCTGCGCCCTTCGCCGCCTGCTCCAGGAGTGGCAGGAATTCCTGAGGCAAAGACACCAACGCTCTGTTCAGGCCTGACAAGCCCCCAGCTTGGGGACTGCCCTGGAGGGCTCTGTCACACGCCACGGATGAGCAGCTGGACAGACACCCCTGGCAGAAGGGCAGGGGATGGGGAGGATGCCCCAAGGAGTGGCCAGGCTCCAGCCTTTCCCCTCCCCAGGGAAGGAGCGAGCTGGCACAGCCAGCCTGGGGCGGGCAGGAGCTCCAGCTGGGGAGGAACAAAGCGAGGGAGGTGTCGGGGCTGGGCTGCGCTGCCGAGCTCCCCTGGGTGGGCAGGGGAGACCCATGGAGGTGGCCTTATTCCCATCAGGGAACATCCCCCCAAGCAGGAGAAACCCAAAAGGTCCACATGTACCTTGGTAACCTGCAGTGGCCCAACCACGTTGGTGGCAAACACGGCGAGCATCTCCTGGGGATCCACGGAGCGCAGCGTGGCGTGTGAGCTGACACCTGCATTGTTGATGAGCAGGTTCAAGCCCTGGTCCTTCAGATGAGACCCCACAGCCCCCACGGCCCCTCGGATGCTGGGCAGGTTCACTGTGTCTGCCAGGGCAAAAAGCAAAGTGGAGCAGAGCTCCTGCAGGTCACACAGCACCCACTGGAGATTGTGCTGTGGCTGGAATGGCTCTCTCTAAACCAGCATTATCCAGAAAGGACACAGCAGGTTTAGCAGGTCAGGTTATTAAGCACATTGAAATGATCAGCAGCTTGTCCTCACCTCTTGGTTTCGCAGCCTCAGACAAATTAAACCTCAATTCAACCCATTTTGGCTGTATGGGGGCTACTGGTAGGAAAAACTTGCTGTATTTGCTTGCTGTATTTGCTTTCTGTACTCAAGGAATTTATGATTGCAGAAGGGATGCTTGGTCCTTGCACACTGAGACTCCCAAATTTAGTTCTACTGGAAGCCACCATAGATGGGCACATTTTAAGGACAGGGACAGACACCATCTTTGGGGAAACAACCAAACTATGCTCTTCGAGCCCTTCTGTACTTCACAGCAGCTATAGGGGCTGTTAACATAGAGGGGATTATTAGATTGGATGAAAATCCTTTGTTTTATACCACTCTAACCAATCATTTTTAGTTACCTTTGCCTTTTTAAACAAGTTGTGCTTAAATTGATCTTCCACAGAGCAACTTCCCATAGTTTTGCAGCCATTGGTATGCAAAAATCCATCTTTTTTCCTATCATTTTCTTCTGTTTAGATTTTTATTTGCTTCCTGTTGTTACTCACAAGGATTTGGAGCTCACAGATGAGCTAAGGTGAGTACAAGTAATAAAAGATTTGGGATGTAACCTGCAGTATTTGGTTGCAGGCTCTGAGTCTGAACTTCCCCATCCCTACTGGCCAAGTTGTGGGGACAACCCCTCTCAAGCAACCAGAAACAACTGAAATTGGGCTAACAGGGACAAGCATCCCCAATGTCTTCCTCTTTGCTTAAATACTGGTTTTGAGATTCTGCCACGCTTTTATTGCAGGATTTTTTGGCTAAGGCAATAAAAGTGGTATTTTTTTTAACTTTATGTTCAGCTTTTGGGGTTGCTTGTTGGGATTTGTGTCCCCTACCGGGTGCTCACCCACTGAAGTGGCTGTTGTTTGTTTAAAAGGGTCATCTAAACACCTTTAGGATCTGCAATGGGCGGGTTAGGCCAACATTAAACATTATATATTGCCTTTTAATACCTCAACTGATCCCCTAAGAACCATGAATATTCAAGCATATGGGCATGTTGGAGTGTGCCCTTGCTCCCCTTGCACATTTTTGTGCCCATTTTTTGCAGATGCCAATCTGATGAGCCTGCTGGGAGGGGGCAACCGCAGGGCTTGATTCCTCTTTTTTGCAACACTTTGGCCCCTGAGCTAAGTTTCTGTTCTCATGCTTAGACAAGAGTGACTTAGCAGAGGTTTCCAAGGCTGAAGACTCCTTTCTTGGAGTATTTCATGCACTGACGAGCAGAAGAACCACTCTTTTTCCGGGCATTTTTAACTAGCCTGGTGTCTTTATGGTGGTAAGCAGGTATGTGAGTGGCATGGGACTTGTGTCCACCTTGCCTTGCGCAGCACACACCTTTGTAGAGGTGTCCTGAAAACATTTGAGGGGAATGTGAGGGGCTGGAGCCTTGGGATTCAAGAGGGCATGGCCAGCTGCAGGACAGAGAGTTTTGGAATGACTTCTCTTTGGATAAATCGGATGAAGTTCAAGGCTCTCCACCACAGTGAGGGATCTTTTGGTCACTTGGTGAACGATTAACTGCTCTGTTTGGATTAGCTGAGTCATTGCTCTGAGGGGTACACGTGTGGGACCAGCACGTTTCTAGTTCTAAATCACCAAATTTGCTTAAGGAGTAAACTTTTGTCTCCTTAGAGGAAACAAGATAAGGATAAGAAAGAAAGAGAGAACAAAAAGAAGTGACAGATCGTACACATTTTGGAGTTACTTTTTAACTCCTTTCTGAAAAGTCCATTCCTGTTGCTGGTTTGGAGACAACCTTTCCTTAAGATGGAGCAAGACAGCCTGAAGCAGCTTCTCTTTTAAAAAAATACTTTGTTGCTGTTGATTCTTTGGGGTTTTTTAGCTTATTTTGGGACTTAATTGATAGTCTGGGGTTTGGGCGTATGTCTTTTAGTAGAGGTTGTTTATGTAGTGGTCAGTCCTTTGAGATGTCCCTTTTTATGTTGGCCATGCTTTAGTGAGCTTACTTCCCATCATGTATTGCCAGTTGGGGCTCACAGCTCATTTATTTTTTATTACAGAGAAGGTGTTTTACTTTAATAATCTACTTAATAGCGAGAGAGAGATTTGCTGCCTCTTTGTAGTGAAAGCCTGACTTCAGGAATGTCTTATTTGCTAAGAAATGCTAAAAAACCTGAACTTTGAAAACCCGAACTTTTCAGGTGTTTTCAAACAAATAAATAGGTAGGTAGGTAGGCAGATACTGATACAGTCTTTGCATGGCCTTTATTCAGTTTTCTTATCACTGACTACAGTGAAATACTCAGAAATATTTAGAAGCTCTGGCTGCTCCCCACCTCTCTTATTACAGCGATGGTAATTCTGGTGCAAGCACTTTCCCAAAACACTTCTTTTGGATTTGGACGGGTTTTTTTTACCAACTCTTCATTAATAGAAAGAGCAGCTGTCAGCAGCCTCCACTCTCAGGCACAGGAGAACACAGGAGATCTCTGCCTCCTCGAAACACATCCACAGGAGATCACATTCCTCAGCCTGGTGCTCCTTATCTCCCCAGGCTTCACTCCAACACTGTCCTACCCCGCGAGCCTCCAGCCCTGTCCAGCACCCTGGAAGCTTCCTTCCTGACTTTGCCAACTCCAAACACCACTCTGGCTGGTCTCCTTTTTCTCCCCAAGTCCCTGTGCTGTCCAGGTCCATTTGCTACCTTCTCCTGCAGCTCCCAAGCACCGCTGACAAAGGCTACTTCCATGGGAGCACAGAAGGGACAAGAGGACATCTCCCCAGCCTAGGATGTGGACATCCAAAACTGGAGCATGCTTATGAGTCTAAGCATCAGCCTGGGATACCAACACCACCACAAGGCCAGATTTCCCATATGCAGCCTTTTAACCTATTTTTTTCCTCCCTTTTTTACCTGCAGTGAAAGAAATGCTGACCGTGGCTACTTCCAAGCAGATCCCAAACCAACTCTCCTACTTAGGAACCATCCAGTAGGTTTGCTTGCTGTGCCCTGCCTTCCTCTGCTTTGTGACCCATGTGTCCCAGCCCAAAACTTGGCCACTGTACTTAGCATCTTTGGGAAGAGATGCCTTTCCCATGAAACTTGCTCAGCTGAGGTGTCCAGACCCACCTCTGCCTCCTCTGAATCCAGTTTGACTGCCCCAACCAGAGGACAGCTTCACTTGAAGTGAATGGATCCCTCCCCATGGATCCCTCCCCACCTGGCAGGGCTAGAGCTTCCTGGCCAAGCTGGCCCTGGTCCTGTCCCCAAAGCCAGCAGACAACTGGAAGCAATGCTGGATGAAAGGAGAAAGATTGCTCCATACCTAGCTGGACCAGTTTGATACTGGCATGCTGGGCAGCTAATTCTTTCAGGGCCTGGAAAAATGATGGAGCAGGCAGGAGGTTAGAAGTCACTGGCAGCACAACCAGGTGTCCCACCCCTGCTCCCAGGTCACCGAGCCAGGATGGCTTTGCTTTCTTTGGGGAAAGTGTGTGGGGCCATTCCCAGGGGATGGGGTAGGGCAGCATCCCCACAGCCAGTAGGAGAATGGTGCTGCTGGACTTAGGCACTGCCCCCCATCCTGAGTGATCCCAGCATGGAGAAGGGATTGTCTGGCCATTGGCACAGCCAGGAGTGAGTGTTGAAGATATGTCTGCCTCTCCAGCCTCATCCCACCCGGTTACATCAGGCACTGCCTTATCCAGGGTATTTGGGGGTTATGAAACTCCCCCAGAGCACTCCTGCCCCCACTGCTGGGCAACCCAGCCAGGTCCAGAGCCAGCGGGGAGCTGTCAGGGCTGTGGGGACCGTGGATTCCCTCTGCCCACCTGGCTCAGGACCATCCCCATGCCCTGTGCCCACACTGACCTTCCCTCTCGGACCCTCGGGGTCGCGGCAGGTGGCAAAGATGTGCTGGGGGGGCCAGGGGCTGGCAGCGAGTTGCCGCACGAGCTCGAGCCCGATGCCCCGGTTGGACCCCGTCACCAGGACGCTCCGAGCCAGCGCAGCCATCCCCGCAGCCTCTGCGCCGGGCGGTGACACATGGCAGGATTGCTGCCTGCTCGGCGTGAAGAGGAGCCAGGCACAGCCCAGGGTGTGGCTCCGGGCGCCCACGGGGACGGGGACAGTGCCAGCACCAGCCCTGGCCCCTCGCCTGCCCCAAACAGAGCCAGGGTCTCAGGAGGATCAAGAGGTCTCCGACGTTTTGGCACGTGGGGCTGCGTGTCTCCTGCATTACCCAGATTCCCACCACTTCACTCCTCTAAAGCCCCAGGTCCCAGAGCCTCTGTAACAGCAGAAGGGTCCATCTCTTCCACAGGTTTGGAAGGACACCACCAGGAAGAGGAAAACAGGTTCAAATCTGACTGTGGCCAGCAATCTCCCAGTTTGGGGAGTGAGTTTGGGATGGTTGAACCCTGGTATACTAATCCAAAGTCCAGCCTAGGAAGCACAGGGAAGGAATTTTGGACACTTTCCCCCTGAACACCCCACCCAGAAGCCAGCAGGGAAAGCCCCCCAGCTTCCTGCTAACCCAACCACCTGCTGCTGGGACTCATGGCCATCACCTTCCTCCTTGCAGGAGGAGAATGCTGGATGCCTATCAGCCCAAGAGGTGCCTGTAAAGCCAAGGCTCCTGTAGCCCAAACCAGCCTAGGGGCATGGATTTCTAGGATGCAGAAGTGCTAAAAGAAGCAAAGAGCTGCCATGTAAAGAGCCTCAGTTGAAACAGAAGAATTGGGGCAACCCGAATGTAAGGAGGGAAAGGGAACAAGAAGAGGAAAGTTGTGGGGATGGGTCCTTCCCATCTGGATGTGCCCAGTGGGACATATCTGTTGCCCAGCCTGGCAGAGGGGACAGAACTGCCTCTTCCCTGGGTATTGAGTGCTTCCACATTTGGTGATCACCAAAGGAATACATGGAAGGTAGTGAAGGGGCCCCAGGTTTGCAAGATGAGATTTCAGGTGACACAGAGCTTGGAGAGGAGAAAGTAATGATGTTTCTTTCCATCGTAGTGGCCAGACTATGGCCCCCATGAGAAATAAGCGTGCTGGGTGTGGATTTGGGTGGTGTTGGAGTCGGACCTGCTGTAGCAGACGTTCTTGAGGGTGTAATCACCTGTGCAAGCAATTGCTCCGCACAGACTTGCCTGCTCCTGCTGCTATCTGCCAGCAGCATCCAGAGCAGAGCTCCCATTAGGAACCAATAAGACTGGAGTTTCCTCTTTTCCTTCCAGGCTCCTCGGGAAGGAGACAACAGAAACAAGTGAAGAAGGCTGCAGGACCAGGAATGGTGGGAATGGCTGCGGGCCAGCGCTGAGCAGGGGAGGCAAGCACCGAGCGACCTTTGGAAAGGGCTGACCGACAGTGGCCAAGGACAGCAGCACAGGCATGCTGATGGCTCGGGAATCACAGCCCAGGGGCAGAAAGGATCCACTGGGGAAGAGATGCTCTATCCATGGGAACAGCCAAGGCTTCAGGCAGGGAGTGGGGCTGTGTTGGGTGGCCAAAGCTCTTGGGCCGGCACCGCACGGTCATTGTTGCAAAATGTGGAATGTGTCTCTAGATTATCTCAAGTCAGGATGTTCTTTGATGTTAGATTTTTGTATACTTTCAAGCCTAATCAGCAAGAAAGGAGGGCTAATCAGTGGAACAGGCAGCAGCCAGCATCCCTTATTCAAGGACATTCTGGAACTAATAAGCTTTAGGGATGACATTGCTAACTTGGCAAAATACTCAAGGTCCATGTGTCCTAGACCTGAACTATCTTCATTATAATACTAAAAATCACACCTACAGGTCGAAAGGACCGTGCCCGGGTGAAGGAAGACCCTTGCCCTGAGCATGCGCAGAATTTATCTGGGGTTGTGTGATTTGTATGGGAATTACTAATCAATCCTAATAGAGCAGACTGAAAAGTTACTGTAACGCTTGCAAAGTCACTAACTCAGAATTTGTGTGCAAATAACGGCGCAGAAAGTCCAGTGGGGCGTGCTGGGCTTGTGGAACACCACCGAGCGCCCAGGCTCAGGCAGCTCTGAAATCAGGAATCAGTATCTCTCTCTCGTGTCTCAATCTCTCTCTCTCTCTCTCTCTCGTGTGTCATTACTGGCTCGTTGCACACGGGGGAAAACAAGCTCGATTTTTGAGGGTGACCCCACTACGCCCACAGGGTGGGCACCCCTAAAATGGCGGCGCCCAGAGCGGCCTCAGCCCGGCCGCGTCACGTGGCCACCGCGTTCCCGCCATTGCATCAGCCGGCGGGCGGGCCCGCCCCGGCGGCGGCGGGCGGGGCTTCGCGGAGCGACAGCGCCGGCAGCCAATGGGAGCTGTCTTCCGTGCGGCGGAGGGGCGGGGCGGGTGCTCGCGCTGCGGCGGCCGGCGGTGAGGGGGCGAGGCGGCGCGCGGCGGGCGCGCAGGTACGGCCGGGGTGCGGACACGGGGGGTCTGCACTCCGGGTTTGGCCGCCACGGCCCGCCCGGGACCCAGGCCAGGGAGAAGGGCAGGAGGGGAGGATAATGGGGGAGGGTGGAGGGTGGTGGTTGGTGGCGGTGCCGCTGGTCGCGCCCCAGCCGGGCCCGCGGGGGGTGGTGGGCCCCGCGGGGGGATGGCGGGCCCAGCGCTTCCCCCGCCCCTCCTCGGGCACTGGAGAGCGGGCGGTGTCCGGGCAGGGCCTCTGGTCGGCCCTGTGCGCGGTCCTTCCCTCCTCGGGTCATTCCCTCCTCGGGTCATTCCCTCCTCCAGCATGGAGGTTGGACTCGATGATCCCAAAGGAGTTTTCCAGGCTCATTGATTCTGTGATTCAATGAACTGCTCCCAGGCCCTGCTCCTGTGGGGGATTCCCGTCCCTCGGCGCCGCAGCACACTGCTGGGATCTCCCCCCCCCCGTGTATCTGCCATTGCGCCTCCCGTGACAGGGACAGCTCTGTGCACCCGTGGGACACTCGGGCGGTGCTGCCCTGCAGGCTGTCACTGCCTCTGGGGTGCCTGAGCGCATGTGGGTCCTCCCAGGGAAGGCTTCCAGGCATCCCTGGAGCTGTCTCTGCTTCGAGCAGGGAGGGCGGACAAAGTGATATTCAGGGGTCATTTCTGAACTTGGCTCTTCTGTGGTTTAATTATAGAATCACAGAATGGTTTGGGTTGGAACAGACCTTAAAGCTCATCAAGTTCCACCCCCCTGACATGGGCAGAGATACCTTCCACAAGACTAGGTTGCTCTAAGCCCCATCCAGCCTGACCTTGGACACTTCCAGGGATGGGGCAGCCACAGCTTCTCTGGGCAAACTGTGCCAGGGCCTCCCCACCCTCACCAAGAAGAATCTAGCCTAAATCTCTCCTTTTTTTGGTTTAAAACTGTTCTCCCTTGTCCTATCACTATCTGCCCATGTAAAAAGTTGCTCTCCCTCTATTTTACAAGCCCCCTTCAGATACTGGAAGGCTGCAATGAGGTCTCCCCACTCCTGCATTTATTCACCTTGAGTGCTTTGACGACTTGGCACTTCCCCCCTCCATCCATGTCCCCAGCAACACAAGTGTGACATATTAAGTTCAGTATCCATGTGAATTTGCAATTTTAAAACCATGTGTTTTCAAAGAACAGGTAACTTGATGTAGAGCCCCGAAATCAGGGAGGTTGGGGGAGAAGAAGTTAGGGGTTGGGCCAGCGCTCTTTGGGGCAGACCGATGGTTGAACTGAGGAGCCAGTGAGTACTTAATGTGGGGGGGACCCTTCCAGGAGATGGAGACAATGATCCTCATGTTCAGCTTGAGCCAACAACACGTCAGAGCCTTGTTTGTTGTTGTTTCTTCAGACTGCACCGAGGCCTTGCTGCTTCCCTGCCGCTTGCTTTGGGCAGCGGTGACTGGCAGCCTCAGGATGGAGGCCACGCTCACCGCCAGCCAGATCCGGCAGCGGTTCATCGACTTCTTCAAGGAAAACAAGCACACCTACGTGCACTCATCTTCTACCATCCCCCTGGACGACCCCACGCTGCTCTTTGCCAATGCTGGTATGAATCAGGTAGGTTTCCCACCCTGGCACTGCGGTCCTTAAGAACATATCCTGTTGAAACCCTTGAGGCTGTTTGCAGAATTTTTTACGTGAAAAATTATTATTTTCTCCGTCTTCCGTCTGGTCACAATGAGGTGGTTGGTGTGTCCTGCTGGAATCCTCTGTGCCCTCACAGTATTGACAGGAGCACTGGAAGAGAGGTCCCTGTGATGGGAGTTCTGCCAGTCTCCCTTCCTTGACCCTTTGTGCCACAGCCAGTCCTGGCACAAATGACTAATGGCATCTTTAAAGAGCAGTTGGGACTGACCTGCTGCAAGGGCTGTGCTGCAGATCAGCACCCAGTTTCTATTTTTTGGCAGCTGGGAATCTGACAGCTTCCAGTCCCTTTGGAGGTTCCAGGGTTTAGCGGGCTCCAGAAACTTGTGTGTGTGTGAGTGCTGAGTTCTAGGCAGTGCTGGAGCCTTGCCACAGGCAGGAGCAGCAGGTTTGTTTCTGAAAGGTGCCTTGGATATGTCCAGGCCAGTGATATTGTCACACAGATGACACACACTGCCTTGCTGTTGCTTGCAACATTTGGAAACAGGCTCTGAGTGCTGGTCTGAGTTGCCCTTTTTTCTCTTCTCTCAGTTCAAACCCATCTTCCTCAACACTATCGACCCCTCACACCCGCTCGCTAAACTGAGCAGAGCCACCAACACTCAGAAGTGCATCCGAGCAGGGGGCAAACACAACGACCTGGACGACGTGGGGAAAGATGTGTACCACCACACCTTCTTTGAGATGCTGGGGTCCTGGTCCTTTGGGGATTACTTCAAGGTAAAGCAGGCTGGGTGCAGCTCTGAATCTCTGGCACAAATTTATCTCTGTGAACTCAGCAGAACGGTTGCCAAGAGGAAAGAGAATATGTTGGCACAGAGGTGCTTGTGGCTCCTTTGGGATAAATGTGGTTGGAAGCTGCCCCGACCCTGCAGAATGATTTGAGATTAATTACTTAAGGTTTACAAAGCTGATTAAATTAACTCTGCTAGTTTGGAGTCTTCAGGCAGAGGTTTTAGGGGTTGTCCTGGAGCTGTGGGGAATTGCGTGTGCTGTGCAGCTATGGTGGACCTTCAAACAGGAGTGATCATACAATGATGATGTCCTTTCCCAAGCTTCTTGATAGTGTAGTGCTCAAAGTCAGAGGGAGGATGTTAGGAATACAAAACAACAGCAGAATTAAAAGGCTTTTTGGGGGCAGTAAACATGCCTAGGAGTTAACTTGGCTGCATCAGGAAAGTCATTTGAGATGTTTCTTGTGCTCTGTTCACTGCATATATTAATTTGCCTCTTATGTCAAAGGTTGGAAAGTTTTTGGCAGTTTACCTGCTGGTACCTGCAGTGGCCAGTACTTTGGATGTTGAAGAGAAGCTGTCTTTGCACTCACTTGCTGACCTCATCTTTCCTTCTGCAGGAACTCGCTTGTAAACTGGCACTGGAACTTCTCACCAAGGAGTTTGGCATTCCTGCTGAAAGACTCTATGTCACTTACTTTGGTGGAAATGAGGCTGCAGGGCTGCAGCCAGACCTGGAGTGCAAGCAGATCTGGTTGGACTTGGGGTAAGGCCTTTCACTGAGGAAGGTGCATGTTTTGATGAGCAACAGTAATTTGTTTGGCTTGGCTATGAGGAAAAATTCTTCACAGAGACGGAACAGAAGAGGCTGCCTGGGGAAGTGGTGGAGTCACCATCCCTGGAGGGACTCAAAAGCTGTGTAGCTGTGGCACTTGGGACATTGTTTAGTGGTGGGCTTGGCAGTGCTGGAGTAGCAGTTGGACTTGATGATCTGAAAAGTCTTTTCCAACCTAAATGTTTCTATGACTCTATGATGGCATGTGTTATATGGCAGAACATAACACGTGGCAGGATGTGTTAGCAAAATTGAAGTGTCACAAATAATGTTTGCAGGGTGGTGGAGCTTTGAAACTAAAGGGAAGTACTGGTATTAGATAGAAGATACTGGGAGCTCTGGTTTCAAAATCTCTTGTGAAAGCTTAACAGGTGCCCCAGTGGGTCAGATGGATGGGCTGTCCTGTCCAGTGTGCTGCTGCTGACAGCATTTGAGAAGATCATGGGATCCTAGAACCATGGGATGGTTAGGTTGGAAGGGACCTTACAGCTCATCTTGCTTCAAGCCCCATCCAACCTAGCCTTGGACACTTCAGGGATGGGGCAGCCACAACTTCTCTGGGCAACCTGTGCCAGGACCTTACCACCCTCACAGGGAACAATTTCTTACCAATGTGTAATCTAAATGTGTCCTCTCTCAGTTTAAAGCCCTTTTCCTTTCACTACATGCCATTCTAAAGCTGGAGTTCCTCTCCAGATTTCTTGTGTTCCCCTTTAGGTACTGAAAGGTTTCAACAAGGTGATCCCAGAGCCTTCTTTTCAGGTTGAAAATCCCAGTTCTCTCAGCCTTTCCTCATAGGTGACATGCTCCATCCCATCCCTGTCTCCTTGCTGGTGGCCTCGCTGAGGTGTTGCGTAAGCCTCTGCCTCCAGCTGGGACAGGTGCCAGTGTTCACTTGATCCCCCTCAGCGGGGATCCCGAGGCTCAGGCTCTAAGAATTCATCGTCTCATCCAGGGAATTAGTGAGCTGAGGTTTCTCTGGTCTAGCCCTTAGTTTGGGGAATTCTTGCCTTGCTCTTAGTCTCTGTTGTTCAGTAAGTTTCTTGTTACAGGCTGGCTGAGGGCAGGATTCTGCCTGGCAATATGAAGGATAACTTCTGGGAAATGGGAGACACAGGCCCCTGTGGCCCTTGCAGTGAGATCCACTACGACCGGATCGGGGACAGAGATGCTTCACACCTGGTCAATCAGGATGACCCCAACGTCCTGGAGATCTGGAACCTGGTGTTCATACAGTTCAACAGGTGAGCCAGACCTGCTTCCAGGTGAGACAGGTCGCTCCAGCTCCATATGGGAGGCTGCTTGGGCTGCGTGCTCTTCTAATTGCCCCTGGCTTGCTCACCATTCCCGGTGGTCCAGGAGCTGAGCACGTTGTGATTCTCTGTCCCCTGACCCTCCTGTACAGAAGGGATCAGTCATACTACTTTTAGGGACAAACTGGAAGTATTTTATCCCATTTATCTGCCAGGAATTCGGTAGGGAATAAGTGCCATCCTGCTCTGGGTCTGAGTTGTCACTGATGGTTTTGTTAATTATATTTTATCACAGTTGTCCTTTGTATGGCTTTTATGGGCCCGTGTCATAAATCTGATGGAACCAAATTTCATGGGGATGAGGAGAGAGACTGGGTTCCCCCTGCAGAGCCCCCATCCATAACAGCTCATCTTTCTTTGGCAGGGAAGCTGATGGGACACTGAAACCCCTTCCTAAGAAAAGTATTGATACTGGGATGGGTCTGGAGAGGCTGGTCTCTGTCCTGCAGAACAAGATGTCCAACTATGACACTGACCTTTTCCTTCCTTACTTTGAAGCCATACAAAAGGTAGGAACTGAGGTCTGATCCAGCTGTATCCATTCCCTGAATCCCTGGGGAGATGCTTGGGGCTGGTCAGAGAGGGCGATCTCTGCTTTCCCAGCTGCTCTGAGCCCCACAGGTTTGTGCTTTGCTGAGGGTAGGAATGCAGGCTGGCACAGTAACTGCTGTCCTTGGACATATCTCTAGGGGAAAACACAGGACAATGAGTGGTGCAGCTTTCCCAG